TGTGCATGGCTCAGCGTTTAGGATGTCTAGATCAATAGCTAGATGAGCAGTCAAACACCTAGGTCTGACTTCACAGAGGAGCTGAGAGCAGTTTAAAGTTCTGTTAGCATCCAGCTTGAATCTTATCTGCAAACCACAAAAAACTGTGATTTGGCTTTGGCAATATTGTGTAGCCCTCCTACAATTATTGGCCTAGATTTCCTGCACAGAGTGTTCCACTGCCTGTTCTTCAAGAGGCTGCATAGCTTCCTGCACATAAACGATGAACTCCGAGGCCTCTCCACCCTGCGTGTATACCGTCACTGTCTCAATACCCTCCACTTCATCTGATGAGACGACTAGGTGATGCTGTTCAGAGAGCTCTACTGAAGCCTGCTGCAAAGTCTCTTGAATCATCACAGTGTGATTGGCTGATTGCTCCTCTTCTTTCACCTAAGAGGAAATTGAAAAGACTTTAAAAGCTTCATCTTTTAAATAAATAAAAGATCCTCTGGTGATTGTAGCACAGACATCAGGTGAACACCTTGGAAACCAGACAGGTACTTCTTGAAAGATGATGTCAGCAATATATTGTAAATTTATCATGTGCACCTCTGACTAGTATGGGTTTATCATGTATTTTGTAAGTTTGACACTGTATCTCAATTATATGCATCGAAAGAAATTCAGTTCTATAAAGATATTGTACGCTGTGAACCAGATCTAAGTTTACCTTTCAGGCACCTCTATTTCAGTCTCACAACAGCTAAAATTTAGGATCCTGACCCCAGGAAGCTGATCCAAATTGACAGGATTAGGAACCTAAGTTGCCTATACAGTGAAGTGGATAACAGGTATTTCTCAAAACTAATCCCAAATACCTAGTTACCAAGGACAGGGAGGTGCCCACAGATACCCAAGAGGAAACACTGGGCACAGGGGCATGTCTGAATTCCCATTGCTCTTTCAAGTGTAGGTGTCTGACCCAGGGCTGAACGGAGGTACTTCCAGTATCTCTGGATCCAGGTCACTCAAAGAGATGGTGTCTATCAGAACCAGGGTGGCTAACTATAGAAAGCACAATGTAAAAAGCTCCATCCACAATCATTCTTAAACACTGAGGGCAGTAGTGCCCACCTTGGGCTCATTAACTTATTAGTGAAAGCACATGCAAAGGAAAAGTGGACTTTGGTCTTAAGTGGTTCTCATCCTGAGGGGTCTCAAAACAATAGCAATCTCCCGCTTTCTAAGAGAGCGTCCTAACTACTATGCCATGGGCTAGGCTGGGTGAGGCCGCCCCTCCATTCCTCTCATTATAGCTGGCACCCTAGACACGCTTGCCAAGAGTACAAGATTCACAGAATCAGGTGGAGAGCAAACAAGAGGGGTTGTGATGGTAGCTGGTAGGTAGGACAGACCTGGGGGTGGAGGGGGGAGGTTGCAGTGATGCAGTTGCACCCCACTTTGATTCCTGGTCCAGCCAAAGTTGAAAACCAATTGCCTGGCAGCAGCATTTCTATTCAGGCAGCAGTGAGAGACTCAACTGACCTATGACTCATTATAATCTACTTGATTCCTTCTAAATACTTCATTCCACAGGTATTAAAAACCATCTCTCTTTTTTAATATGAATCAAGCTATCCTTTCTCCAGCAATTCTGCTATTAGTTGATCCTGGTAATGTAGCTCCTATTTAGCAATGCTGTATATTGAACACATGCACATTTCAATGAAGCTATATTTGTTTGTGCTTCAATTTTAAATGGATGAATATAGGCCTAGGTCTGTGGCTTTTAGTAAAGTATCTCATTTCTTTTTAATTGGAGAAAAATGCGTTGTGTTATATAGGATGATACACTACATCATCTGCACTCCTCCTTTTAAAAATCCTTGATCCACCTATGTTAGTGGGCACAGCTGTCCATTGGAAGGGAAGAGTCCTGGCTACAGGCTACTTTTGCCAGGTTATTTCTGGTTTTTAACTAAGGACTCTCAACTCTGTTAGTAAATGCACAAATAAATTTTTTGGATCAAGCTCCTGAAGCATGTCCATTTCCATGCCCTGCACAGGGAGACTAGCTTAACTGAGGGCAATGGATTCCCTGTCAGGTGCATGGGCTTAAAAGACAGGATTTCTGGTGCTCAACTGGACGTGCCAAATTTGGGCTTTGTATAATTTCCCTTCCTAAAGTTGCATATTGCCATGATGAATTGTTTTAGCTTACTCCCTCCCACTAGCATGTTGAATGAGATTATGCTATGGTTGCTATTACAGTGGCTCGCCAACAGGTACCTCTTGAATGAAGTCTTGTGCGTTATTCATGTCCTATGCATTATTGACAAAGTGTGAGAATTTGAGGGTTTTTTTGAAAAATTCAAAAAAAAATTTTTTTAATTGGCAAATAGTTGTAATGAAACAAAAGTCAGAGCATTTCAACCAGCTCTACTGACCACCAAATTCCATACTAAGAACATGGAACACAATTGATTTCAAGAAGAGATCTCTGTTTACTACCAACCCTATACAGCATGAAGTGGCGAACTAAACAGTGCTTCAGTCATAGGATTGGAGGATTGTAGGGCTGGAAGAAACATCACAGATTCATCTAGTCCAGTCCCCTGCTCAAGGCAGGATCCCAGCCAAGCATCTGTCTAACCTGCTCTTCTAAGGATGGAGACTCCACAACTTTTGTAGGCAGCCTGTTCCAATGCTTGACCACCCACATAGTCAAGAAGTTCCTTCTAATCTCAAACTTAATTTTTTCCTGCTACAGCTTGAGGCCACTGATCCTAGTTCTGTCCCGTACAGCCACAGAGAAAAGCCCACTGCCATCCTCTTGTGGGAGACAGAGGCAAAACCCTTTGTACTTTCAAGGTACATCCCCATCCACTTCATCCACAGCAATGTCACCTTAAATCAAGGTACATCACCATCCACTTCATCCACAGCAATGTCACCTTATCATAGAAAGAAATCAGGCTGGTCAGGCATGACTTGCTCTTGGTGAATCCATGCTGACTGTTCCTGATCACCTTTTTCTCCCTCTAGGTACTTCACAAGAGATTCCTTGAGAACCTGCTCCATGACCTTTCTGGGTATCAAGGTCAGGCGGACTGATCTGTAGTTCCCTGGATTCTCCTTTTTCTTAAAGATGGGCACTATTTTCACCCTTCTCTAATCATTCGGGACCTCACCCAACCTCGGTGAGTTCTCCTTTTCCCTTCGGACTTGTTTCCCAAAGGATCCTGTCCACCAGATCCCTGAGTTTGTTTAAGTCTGCTTTTCTAAAGCCCAGTGTCCCTATTCTGCTGCTCTCCTTCCTTCCTCCCCTTAGGATCTTGACTTCTATTATCTCATGGTCTCTGTCACTCAAGTTACCTTCCACCTCCACACACTCAACCAATTCCTTCCTGTTTGTGAGCAGCAGGTCAAGAAGAGCTCTCCTCCTCACCGGCTTCTCAACCATGTGAATCAAAAAATTATCCCCAATGCACTCCAGGAATTTCCTGGACTTCCTGTACACTGCTGTGTTTCCCTCCCAGCAGAAGTCCCCAGTCCATCATCAGCAAGTTACAAGGCTTCAGCAATTTTAAGCAAGTACAATGTCTCAAATGATGTTACAATAAAAACAGAGCACATGAAGTACAAAGGGATGAAATTATCTTTTTTTTTTCTTTTTTTTTTGGAAAAAAGTGGAGGGGGGAGATGCAGGCGCTGTTCCATATACACTAGTGCTGTGCTCACTAAAGAGGGTCATTGTATTTGTAAGCTAGATAGTAAAGGCCAACCCACCTGCTGCATATAACTAATTTAAGATCTCGCTTCTCTTTTTAGAAAATTGATAGTTTTTATTTAAGCCTTGCTTCTGTTTCATTTAAGCTGAGCAAATGTTTTGCGAAATGAGCCTCCAAAGATAAATCCTGATTTATTTCACACTGGAAGAATGTAACTGAAAGAATTTTTAGGAGGAGATATTAACTCTACAATAAATGCTCTTCTTGTATCACAAACTGTATCTATAAATCCTCTGCTTACAACAACACAGAACAAGGAGAGAAATGCTAGCTCAGCTAGATCCTAGGATGGACAGCAAAAGTCTTTGGTATTTTGGGTAAGTATATAAAAGATAGTAAAAGGAGATAACTAGAGACTGATACACCATTATTGTCTTGTATTATATTGCATACTAGGGCCCAAAGTAATTGTCTTGTTTCTTCAAAGGCAGAATCTGGCTCTATATTTGATAGTAGCCCCAAACTTAAACTGACTTAATAGAAGTTAGAAAAGGAAACAAGTCAGCCATATACAACGCATGGTCTCTACAAAGTTAAGCAACTCTGAAAAGCGCTTGTCAATGGCCTTAGCAGAGAGGAGGTGTCCCACTAGGTCTTCTCCAATTCTCATGCTGCTAAGCAAGTTCAAGAAAATATAGCAAAGATCAATATACTTATCCGCACTGTGTGAAAACACCACAGTGAAGGGTCTGATTGTGTGCGAGTCTTCAGGGCAGGAGCTAGAAAGGAGAAATGCAGCCTTAGAGGCATCTTGTCTTTTTGATTTTCTTTTCTAACGTTTTGGTTTTTCTAAGCATCCATTCTCGTCTCTATACGTTAACTTTTCCTTTTTTTCAGTCCATGTTTAATCTTTTTTGATCAAACAGAATTTTTAGAGACCGACAGCCCCTTAGGACCTGAATTCATCCCCCACTGAACTTCTGCTTGATTCATCAGGCTATATAAACCCTTTGCTCAAACAATAACAAGTATTTTTTTTAAGTGTTCAATTATTTAGAGGGGCCCCCACATTCAGTATGGTTGTGATATACAAGTTCCTTCTAGTACAGGATTTAACTCCTGATTTTCTTTGTCGTGTCTCCAGTCCAACCTTCCTTTCTAGTCTGTTCCCAATATTCTGCACAGGACACTGTGTCGGGTGTTGGTGTTGCCAGATCTTGTGGGGTGCATTGTGGTGCTACAGGGTATCCCAGGTTTCTCCCGACAAACACATTGATTGGTTGCATAGAGGCCCCATAATTTCATGAGAGTTGCATCTTCTGAGACCCACTCTCAATCTGTTCAGGCTCTGCCATGTATGCCATCTGTAGTTGCAGCCACATGCTAACTCTTCACTAGGGGTAATTCCTCGCTGGCTCCATTCAACAGCTTTGTTGCCTAGTTTCTCCCATTCTTTTTGCCACAAGGTAGTTCTGCCTGATTCTGGTGATGTGGTCAATGGTGTGGTACAGGACAAAAAGCTATTTCTCAATAAGAGATGACAGTGCACTGGTTGATGTCAATATAGCAGGTGGTGGTTGTCTGACTCTCGTACCTGCCGGTCAACGTTGCCTGCTACTTTCCTCCTGATGTAAGGGGGTGGTATGCCAGATAGTCCGTAAAGGCAGGGAACAAGGTTGGGTTTTAGGCACCCACCAACTCCTGATAATGCTTGCTATT